ATCCTTAATCCTTTCCTTCATATTTTCCGGGAGAGATGGTGGATATCTATAAACCTCTTGCTTAATGTAGCCCCATAGAAAAAAGTCCATCGGTGTCATATCTGGTGATGTAGGAGGCCAAGATATAGGCCCATCACGACCGATCCAACGATTGCTACTGAAGGTGTAACAATAGCTACACACACGATTATGATAATGCGCAGGTGCGCCGTCATGTTGGAAGTACATATGCGTCCGAGTTTGCAGATTGAAATCCTCCAAAAGCAGAGGCAAATGCCCGATAAAAAAATTCAAGTATTCTGTACCTGTTAATCTGTTGTCGAAAAAGAAAGGCCCGATAACTTGTCTACCAAATAACTCCTCCCCAAACATTCAAGCTCCATCTATTTTGGAAATCTATTTGCCAACCCAGTAAGGGTTTTCCGTCGCATAATAGTGCATGTTATGCCTGTTGACAGCACCTTTGCTGTTAAAAGTTGCCGCATCGCTAAAAAAAACCTTATCCAGGAAAGTAGTGTCTTCTCTCACTTTATTTAGCATTATTTCAGTAAACTCCATTCGAGCTGCGAAATCCTGAGGGCGAAGGGCTTGATGCAAGCATAGGTGATATGGATGGTACCTATGCTTGTAAATAATCCTTCGGACAGAAGTTCTGCTCCGATTTGCCGTGCACTTAAATGGGGATTTTCCTGCAACTTTAATAGAACCTCCAACTGATTCGCCTCATTGGTGACACTTCGATTATTTATACATTTTCACTATATTCCACTGCTCCACTTGATTCAAAACGTTCTCGTAGTGTGGAAAATGTTTCCGGCCTTGGATGTCGCATATTAGGGTACCGTTGCTTATAAATGCGAGCTGCTAGGAAACTATTTCTTAGGGCTTCGCCCAAAACGAACACCATATCCACCATTTCTTCTTCAGAAAAATTCATTTCCAAACACGTTTTTATTATAATGCTCACAAAGCTAATTTTGACAGTTTGTAACTAATCAACAATTTATTTGTTTCCAAGGATGATGCGATATTTTAGGGAATTAAGCCGTTCCATAAAAGACGTGCTAATAACCGAAAAATAGCCGTAAAAACCCTTATGAGTCTAGTATCGAAAAAAAGCTTATAAAAAATTGAATCCAAACTTGCACAAATATACAGGGTGATACATTTGAAATTTTTGAGAAAAACTACAATTTGCTTTTTTGACCACCCTGTATGAGCGAAAATTAAAATTCGAAAAAGTAACAAATAAGATAAAAGCTGAGGTGTTTAAGTTTTTTTTTTGATACAAAATTCAGAACTACAAATTTCAAAATGGCGGACTGAGGGGTTGCCGAATTAGGTGGTTTTTCTAGACAAAACACCTTATATCTCAGTAGCTAATTACCAAAACCCCATAGTATGTCATATCAATTTTCTTGTTTTGAATTGGTTTATCCAAATATGCAACAAAATATGAGGCATTCCATTTGAAAAATCACAACTTTGATATGTAGGTCGAAATTGGGACACCCTCTATAATGGCCAATATTTTAGAAATGTGCCCTCAAATGTCATGTATAACATCCCATTAATAGATTTTCCCTAAATGTATTCGTTTATGAGTAATATTCCGTCCACCTATTTATGGGCCACCCATATATACAGTGTGTTTCACAACTTATACGACAGATTTCATCCACATATGCACTGTTACGAAAGAAGTTGATTTCTCAAAAAAATAATGTAATAAAAGTCCTACAGAAATTAAGTTATAAACCTGAGTTTCAATAATAAATTGAAAAATAAATATCTGTATTTTGCGTTCATCGTTGTGATATTAGAACACGCATTAATAATTTATTATAGCAAATGTTGTACCAAACAATTGACGAAAACAAATTACCAGGATTTTTTTATTTTTGAATGAAGAACGGTCAATTTTTGTGAAGTTAAATAAGAAAGTATTTTGCGAGTTAATGTTTTTGTTATTTATTAATAAAAACGGCACATGTGTACACTAATGAGGAGTTAGTGGACATTGTTTTAGCGTATGGAGAAGCAGGGCAAAATTTGCGACCTGCTTCTCGTCTGAATCAGGTATACAAGATACGCTGGATCGGAAGGGGTGGACCAATTGGATGGCCTCCACGGTCTCCCGATCTAAATTCTCTGGACTTATTTTTATGACCATACTTGAAAAACGAGGTATACCGTACTCCAGTTCAGAATATTGAAGAATTGCGTGACCGAATCACAGTGGTTGCCGATAATTTGAGCCTTCAGGACAGCAGGAAGGAGGTGTATTTGAATAAGTGCGCCCAAATTGGATTAAACGCGCCCAAGCTTGCATTGCAGTCAATGGAAACAATTTTGAACAGCGTTTATAAGTGATCTGTTAAACTGTATTATTTTATTATCTCGATTTCTGTAGGACTTTTATTACATTTTTTTTTGAGAAATCAACTTCTTTCGTAACAGTGCATATGTGGGTAAAATTTGTCGAATAAGGTGTGAAACACATTGTTTATATATATATATATATATATTGACGCTTGTAATTATTATTTTTAATATTGACATATAATTTGGTTAAGAACTCGGTTATTATACTAAGTGACATATAAATCCGAACACCCAGTTTAAATGGTTTTATTTTAATAAAAGTTGGTGAATGTATTTATCTTACTGTAAATAACAAGTGAAAAAATTTTCAGTCTTATCAGTTGGACATTCCGGTTTTTATACTGCTTTTTTTAATTCACTAACGCTCTAAAAATGAATATTTCAGCCGCACTAAAGAATCAACGTTGGCGGATTTTGGTTCATGACATCCATTAGGATCGGCTACGATGCCTAGAGTACGGAGACCTGTACGATTTCGTCAACTTAGTGAGTTTGATAGGGGCCGTATAGTGGGACTTCGGGAAGCTGGACTTTCTTTTCGGGCAATTGCAGTTAGAGTGCAAAGAAGTGTAGACACTGTGGTTAGGTGTTGTCAGGCATGGCTTCGAGAAGGCCGTACGCAAAGAGCAAGGGGCACTGGACGCCGCCGTAGAACAACAGACCGTGAAGATCGCCGCCTAAGATTATTGGCCTTAAGGGACCGTTTCTCCACTACCAGGTCCATTGCAAATGTATGGTTTGCAGGACACGGAAGACCTATTGGCATGCGAAGTGTTTACCGACGAATGAGAAGTTTTGGCTTGTGTGCTGCACTCAATGCTACTCCTTCTGCATGTTGGTAAGGTTGTGCTTTGCTGAGACGAATTTGATTGCTTCGATCGTGGCTTTGGGAATTAGCTTGTTGCTCCGATTACGATAGGTATGATATTCGTTTTGATATTCCAAAGTCTTTGGAGCTCGATCTGGCGATCTTTATATTTTAGACATTTTTCGGCTTCCTTCTGTGTGATGTGTAATCTGATGGGATGGCAACATCTATTAGTAGGCACAACTTTTGTCTGTTATCTTTCAGAATTATGTCCGATTTATTTGCTTTGACTGTCCTGTCTGTTTGTACTTGCATATCCCACATTATGCTAACATCGGGAGTATCGATTACACGGTCCGGTTTGTGATGGTACCATTTATCATCTACATCTATATTGTACTCTCTGCAAAATATTCCAATGGAGTTGTGCTGCTACTGTGTTGTGACTCTCTAAATATACCTTCTTGGCAAGAACTGTACAACCAGAAACCACATGATGGATAGTCTCATTGTATGTCCGGCAAAGTCTGCATTTGGGGTCGTTGCTGGATTTCATGATTTCAGCCCTCATGTAGTCGGTCGCGATTGCTTGTTCCTGACAAGCCGTAACGAGCGCTTCTGTCTTAATTTTTAAATTAGCATGCGTGAGCCACTTCAAAGCTTAACTGCTGTCGACGGATGGCGTTCCACTTCTTGTATTATTTGACCATGCATAGCCTTCTCCCTCCATTTTGTTATCTGGTCTTTTTTCATTTCTGTTTTCATATGATCCTTAATCAGTTTAATTTACTTTGTTGTATTGTCATCTTCAATTGTTATGTCTTCTAGATCTTCTCGAATCCTGTTTCCAGATTTATATTGTATATACCATACTGAGAAACTTATAAGCTTTTTTCAGCTTTAAATAGCTTTTGATCTCTTTCAAAGCGATAGTGTAGCTGTTTTCTGTATCCGGCATTCATCTTCCTCCTTCTTTTCTGCTGACATACAATCTATCGACATCAGCTCTTGGACGGAGAGCGCCATACATAGTTAAAAGCTTACGAGTTTGTCTGTCGAGTTGTTTTATTTCAGCTAGAGTTAAATTTATAATACTAATTAATATTATTATTATTATTATATCATGGATGGGTCAGACAGACACAATATGAGTTTAAAAAGTGAAATGTTATTTTTAAAATTAGGGCTGGTCACATAGGTCGTTTGTATAAGGATAATTTTCTACACCAAAAATTGGCTGCACGAAACTTTAGAACTGTTGATTATATTCGATTCCAACGTTTTAAATGACCTAAGTAAACGAAGTTTTGTTAACTTGTGACTACAGAAGACGAAAATATTTCCCGAAAGGCAGTATAGTTATTAAAACTTATATTCTTATGAGAAAAATGTCAAAAACTTCATTTTGGTGCTGGGGTCCCCCAAGCCTCATTTTCTATCCAAACTTTGGCATTACGACGATTAAGGATTTTTTAGTAGTATGTTCGAAAATATAATTCATAAAATGAGTGGAGACTTCAACAGTAGCAGCATGATCAGGAAGCCTGCATTCAAAAATATAGAGCGTGTTCCATATTTTGAGTTGAGACCTCAATAGCAGCACAGACAAAAGAAGTCCGGATAATTTTTTGCTACAAATCGAACCCTCATTGCTCCTGAATTTTTATCATATTCGAATGCAACTACTTCGATATTCAGAGATAGCAGAACAAAAACAGAAAGTTTGAATGACAAAAGAAAAAATAGAACGTCGGTGGACTCTAAGAGCACCTTACATTAACCAAATATTAGAATTTTTATTACTTACTGAGGTCATGGCTTGATATGCCAAGTCTATGATTTCTCCTACTTTTATTGAATTTAACCCTAATGCAGAAGAATAGAAAGAACACAGTTCATGTCTTGTGATAATCCCGCTACCTGAAAAAAATATATGTTCAATTGTCGATGTAGACAAACAAGATGTGTAAACTAAGTAATGAGACTGACTTTTTTCAATTTCTTTAGATCCATTACTTCAAAGACGCCTTCTTGTTAGTCCAATTAGGTCAAAGGCGCAAAATTTTGATTACTGCCGGTCAATAAAAAAATCGGGCCTTATAATGAGGCAAATAAAGGGTTTTCCATTAAGGACTTAAAAACTTTCTTTTGGAATAATGCGCAAACCATTTGAGATATCATATGTCCACCACGGAAACGTTCGCAGCGATCGATTCGTCGAACCCAGTTTTCAATGACTCGGACTCGCTATCTCTCGTTCAATATTGGCTCTAAGCAATGATTTAATGTAGCCCCACAAAAAAGTCTAGAGGTGTTGAATCACACGATCTAGGCGGCCAGTCGATGTAACACGTTCACCGAATTTTGATTTCAATATGTCGATTGTTTCACCTCCTGTGTGGCTTGTGGCACCATCTTCTTGAAACCACATATTAGTAATGTCTAGCCCAGCCAATTAACCAAAAAAATAACGTTACAACATGTCTCTGCAGCGATCTCTGTTGACTGTAACCTGACGGTCATTTTCATCAACGAAAATAAACGGCCCAATGATACCACCGGCATGAAAACCACACCATACAGTTATTTTTTGTGAATGAAGTGGTGTTTCTTGAAGCACATGAGGGTTTTCACCTAACCAGTAACGCATATTCTGTTTGTTGACGAAGCCGTTTAGCAAAAAAATGCGCCTCATCACTGAAGATGATTTTGCGATGAAATTGGTCATTTTCTTGCAACATTTTTAGAGCCCTATTCAAGAACATAAGTCGGTTCATATGATCGAACGGCTTCAGTTCTTGATCTTATAAGGGTGAAGGCCAAGATCTCCTCGCAAAATTCGCCTTAGTGTGGTCTGAACGATGCCCAATTCTTGAGAACGCCGTGGAATCGCGACGTGTTCTGTTTGTTTGCGACGGAAGCTTGACCGGCAGCAATATTCTCGGCACTTCGACCAACCCGTTGTCTCACTGGCACGGAAACATCAAGCAGCGAATATGTAGACTAAATTTTTTTTGCTAGACTATGAACTGCTTGTCTACTGGGACGAGAATTACGACCAAAAATTGGCGTTAACGCTCTTAAAATTGCAGTCACCATGATAAAAATGTTTTCTTTACTGAATGTTTTGACATTGACAGTTCGGTAATTGATTTAAAAGTGCGTTCACAGTGAAAGTTGTCAAGTCCCTATTGCAAAACCCGATAAAACTGTGTATCAAATAATATATGAGTCATCAAAATGATTGTTTTTGCTTACCAGATTTGTTGATGACTTGAAATAAAAGTTTAACAAACACCTGGAGCCATATAGGAAAGTCTGATAGGTTTTTTGATCCAACCATTAATTCTGACCATTTGTGCAGGAACCCTTCTTTAGTTAGATAAGACACATCATTCAACGTGAATCCTAAAAATAATTACAGTGTTCATTGCCATATACAGGGAAAACCAAATTTGTCTGACGGCTTGAGTTCAATGTGTAAGAAAGAGGAGCACGAGAAGTGTGTATCAACACATGTTAGAAAGAGATAGAAGCCGGCTGAAGAGCGAAGGTCATCACCACATTGCCTAGCGACGCTGACGCAGAAGGTCGTGCAATCTGCCACGTGGCCTATATGTTACACCAGAAAATATTCGTACAGGCTTCTACAATAGGTTAAGTTACTGTCAAACCCAAGAAGGAGGTCTGATCGAACATTTTAATGATATATTTTGTTTTGATTAGAATTATTTATTTCAATTTGAGGCGACTTACTGTTTTAATGTATTTTGAAATTATCTTCGATTTCCTCCGATGGTGATGAAATCAACACATCCTGTCCGTCGCGCTGTCGCAAAATGTAACAAGTAACGTAACGCAATACACATTATCACTGCCTGTGTATGCAGGTGAAAGCCATTTCGAAATAGGACGACACTCCCCAATGAGCGCTAGACTGGCCAAAATCGCTCATCTATGATCATGGATTAGGAAACCTTGACTAGGAATGTACAAGATACGCGGTGTTATCAAACGAACCAATGATGAAATGTTGCAGAATTTATAGCGATCCTGGCCTTTCAGTTCGACCTTAAATAGAGCGCTGTTAGGACCTATTCGGAATCGATCCTAAATATATTCCACACAATTCACAAGTCAAAAATGTGTACGCTCAAAACAAAACTATTATTTGGGTGTAAAGAATACATACTGGCAATGCGGCAGATTGTCGCGTCAACGTTGCTAGGCAACGTGGTGATGAGCTATCCAGTCGCCTTCTATCTCTTTCTGACACATGTGTCTATACACACTTCTCTCGTATACAAGACAAACTTGGTTCTCACTGCATGTTACCACGAGTATTAAAAAATATACCATACCCATTCTGTCATTTGATATGTCTGTTAAGAAGGTCTCTTTAAAACCTCTTTCAATCTCCCGTAAAATATGATATTCTGGGGAGTTGATTGACCAGTCAGCAAAATGCCGAAATCTCTAATATCCAAGTCAGCATGAAAAAGCATTTTTACATCATTAAATAGTTGAGTAAGTTTACAAAGCAAAAAGGCGTAACTAGAGGCTTGGACAGTATTGTTTAAAAAAAATTATATTGGTCCAAACTTTCTTATTATGTTACTTCCCACGTCAGACGAGGAGGTAATGTAGGTAATCCTTATAATACGTATTTTGGGTTGCTGAAACTGAACTCGGGGCCCACTCAGTGCGGAAATGCAAGAGTTCTACTTATCAAAAAAACGACTAATAAAAAAATCTCCAAAAAACTTTGAGCGTCTGTGATATGTATCGAAGCTTCACTCCTAATTCGGCACCATGATCCTTTAAGTTTTTTAAGATGATATTAGAGTTCAAACGTCCCAAATTACCTGAATGTACGTACGTACGCATATAGCCATATGTAAAGAAAATTGATTTTTGCAATTTTTCAGTAAAAAATAGAATGTACCTGATAAACGGGATCAGATACACGTGAAACGTCTTCGGATTCGGATTTTCAGACCCAAAATACGTATGATAGAGGTAATTTGGAGCGGATTTTGAAGCATTTTAATTTTTCGTAACCATGATTTATGATCCAAAAAGGGCAAAAAATGGATTATTCTTGACGTGAGCCCAAACATCATTATAATACGTTTTTTGAACAACTGAAACCGAATCCGGGGTCCATTCAGTCCGGAAATACTCCGTTCTCGAGATACTGGCCAGAATTCTAAAAACGGGTGACCCCACGTAACTAGTTTTTTTAATAATTCTTCTCCCCTAACTCGGAACTATAATCCTTTAAGATTTTTGAACGATGGTATTCAACTGCAGCGCCCCAAATTACCTAAATGTACAGAGCATCGTTCGCATATAGCCACCGATAAAGGAAGTTGATTTTTAGCATCCTAAACTCTCAAATGTCACGTACTAAAAAATAGAATGAACCTGATAAACGGGGTCAGATTCACGCGAAATGCCTTCGGATTCGGCTTTTCCGACCCAAAATACGTACGATTATTATGTTCCAAACGATTCTTATAATACGTTTTTTGGGCTGCGGAAACCAAATCCGGGGCGTATCCAGTCCGGAAACGCGCTCCGTTCTCGAGATACTAGAAAGAATTCTACCTATCAAAACAACGACTAACAAAAAAATTTCGCATCTACGATCTGTATGGAAGCATGTTCTCTAGGTAAATCGGGTGCGTAGATTCCGAATTCAAAGTCTGTTTAGTGCATCATGTTCCTTTAAGGTTTTTTTCACGATGATATTCAAATTCAGTGCCCCAAATTACGTAAATGTACATATTTGCAATATTTCACTAAATAATATAACGTACATGATAAACAACATTTCTTGGATGTACACCACAAAAAACATGTCACGTATTTTTCTCTGTCTGTCCGCTAATGATCACGGTACGTCAATAACCTAAAGAGTATCGGTAGAATTTTTGAGGAGTGTTAGTACCATGTCAAGAACGAAACATTAGGTTAATTATGTTCCGTCCTCGTCGAAGTAAATATTTAGAATACATATTGTAGTAACCTCGTATTTGTACCAAACCCCAAGATTTCAAAGCGCGCACGCAGCGAAGGAAAGCGGCGCCGCGCCCCTTCCCCCTACCTTCCTCCCCTCTCGCCAAACCGTTAACACCTCAATCGGCGCATCGTTTCTACGTTTTCAGCAGTTTCGAGGAACCGCTGAGCATTTAGAATTAGAGAACAGGACAGAAGGTTGGCCGATAGATGTGCATTGTCGAACGAGATACCGACCGACGGTCGCCTCAAGGTTCCTTTCGTCGCGGAGCAAAATTAGAAAGTAGAAGGGGCGTCACCAGCAGTTAATTGTCGACTAACCTATCTGTTTTAGGTGCAAGTTAAATGAATACCAGTATGGATGCCTCACCGGCACTGCAGACTGTGCCTGACATGAAGTTTGGGATAACGTTCTGACACGGTTGCTTGGGATAGCAACCTGGACCTAGCTTGTGATAGCCAACTCCATACCTAGGACGAACAAAGGCGTTTGGGTTAACGCTGAAACATTGGACTCGGTTGCTTGGGATAGCAACGTGGACCTAGCTTGTGATAGCCAACTCCATACCAAGGACGAACAAAGACGTTTGAGATAACGTGGAAGCATTAGACTCGGTTGCTTGGGATAGCAACGTGGACCTGGCTTGGGATAGTCAGCTCCCCATCAAGGACGAATGAAGATGTTTGGGATAATGACTCAATACTGAACTCCGTTGCACAAATAACCACACTGAAAGCGTTTGGGACAACTTAGCAACAAGGTATGGTCAACAATCTCTTCTCATTTGCTTGTGATAGCAAATTTGAACATGACAGGCTAGGAAGTCATTAAAATATATTTTTTCCTTATTACCAGATAGAGATTAGGTATCTTATGCGAGGTTAGCGTTCCATTTTGCTTGTGATGGCAAATTCAATCTGGTTTGTGATAACCTTGGAACAGCATAATGAGATTGCACAAGGCAGTTTAGAAAACCGTCATAGTACCATTTTTCATTAATAACAAATAGCGATTAGGTTCATCTATGCGAGACTAGCGTTACGTTTTGCTTGCGACAGCAAATTCCACGTGGTTTGTGATAACCATGGAACAGGTGTGTAATTATGAACATGTTAGAAAACCGCCAATGTATATCTTTTTCTTATCACCAGATAAAGAATAGGCACCTTATACGAGGTTAGCGTTACATTTTGCCTATGATAGCAAATTCCATATGGTTTGGAATAGCCATCGAACAGGTCAATAATATGCACCTTACAGGTTACGAAACAGCTGAAGTACTTTTTTTCATTAACAACATGTAGAAATTAGGTACATCTATGGTAGACTAGCGTTACATTTTGCTTGTGATAGCAAATTCCACGTGGCTGGTGACAACTATGGAACAGGACCGTACGTATGAACATGACCGGTTAGGAAACCACCAAAGTTCTAATCTTCAGTAATAACGGAGGTTAAATATCATTATGCCCGATTAGCGTTACATTTTGCATAGGTGCCACTCAAACAGCAGGGCGCTCTGGATTGTGTTGTCTTAAAGGCCATGTAGTCTGTTTCAATAGATGACGCATCACCACGATGATGCGGCGACCTTAGTATAATTAATGTTCGCGCGTTGTTCCAAGGCTGACATTTCGAGGGCAGGTCTTGTTGATGATAGATGAATAAATTCTGTTCTATGCTAGCCACCCAAGGTGAACCCTGAGGTAGCGGAAGCCCGAATAGAAATTGTCGCACGCAGGGATGCGTGCTTGGTCTGTGTACAGCAACATGTCAGCTGTTCATTAACTGCAAGTGGCAATACTCTATCCTCTAGGTTCAAAGAAGGGAGAGGAGCGCATGCTGGCAGATAATCACATTAAAGCAAAGAACTGAGGAGTACTCTGACAGAGGCTTCCATTGATATCTTGTTCTTCGGTGCAGATCTGACCTAGTAAGTCAATTCTAAATAGAAATCAGATAACACGTTCGCTGCCTACTCAGACTGGATTAACTGTTCCCAATAGCCAAATACTGTTTTGACCAATCAGACTTATATTGGTATATGTAATCATATTCAGTTATTTATATTGGTATCTAATTCAAAAAAGGTGTATATTGGTAGAGAAAAAGAATTGTCCTCGATTGATACCAGGATTATTCGTATCACTGTTCACGAAAACCGATGACTCCGATCGGAGCCGTCGGCACATGACGAAGATCACCGATTGGCTCCGATCGGAGTCATCGGCAGCCAACGTGATAAATATGAGCAGCAACTGAAGGCCAAAAGGCCGGACAACGTACTGACAACATCATTATTGCAAATGAGGTGTTGTAGATCAGCAGGGACATTGACGCGTATTCATCATCAATGGCAGAGCTTTATTAGTGGCGCTAAAGTCCTGAGTTGGACTCAAGTGGTCACTTGTCATCCAGATGGCGACTGGTTCAGCACTTTTGCCACAGCTGAATCTCATTAGTCCATCTATGAACTACCGACCTTCGACAGTCTCTCAATTGCTTAGCTGCGGTGCTATCAGTAAAAAAGTTGAGCTAAAAATCGCACCTATCCAACTTTTTCTTGCAACCAAGTCTAATGGGTCAACACGTTTGATTCCTTACCTTAAGACACTTTGTCTGTTCATAGGGAGAGAACACTTAAGTCTAGGATATTGAACTGGGATCAGACTTCTCCGTAGAGATACTTTCTTAATGAATCTGGATTTGGAATATGCAGAGATTTTGGTACCCGTTACGGAGAGTCATAATATATATTCCAGATTCATATTCAAGGGACAGCTCTTCCAATACAATGCTGTACCGTTTACGGTAAATTGTGCCCCTCATGTGTTTACAAAGTTAATAAAATCATTTCTGGAATACCTTAAGAAAAAAATGAGCACTTTCATGCTCAGTATTAAATTGTGACAGAAAGAAAGTAACTTTGCTTGAGCGGGCGATGCAGACATTACTAAACCTAGACAGGACAATAATGGACAGCAACCACGACAGTGTCCGACACTTTGCGGTGAACATCGGGATCTTGATGTCAGCTTGTCTTTCATTTCGTTACAGCCGACTATACACTAACGAGTGAAATTTCTTGTCACTAACATAATATAACTTAACGTCTACCTCGGCTCGGGGTCACTCACGTGGCAACCGCCTTTAGTTTTACCGTATTTTACTCCCATATCTGTGCAGTCAAAGTATCTATTTGTCACTGTACAGTAACTTTATCATTGTGCCGCTGCTCCCAGATGGATGAAGTCGATTTTAGCAGAGAGTGTCACAATTGACAGCCCACAGTACATGAAATGCGACTACCTCTCCGCCTGCTAAATTATAGTAGTATCAGGATCGCGGCGGGCTGGAGTGCGTTTTCTGAGATACGTCACAAATCTCTTATGCCAAACAATAGCTTTGCTCAAGGCATTTGAGGTGAACCAAATCTAGACACCTTAAACATATCTATGTTATTACGTTATTTGCTTATTACCATGTAACGGATGATAATTTTGGAACCAGGTGCGTCATATTACCTGTTGCTAAAAGACCTAACTTGAGTTGTTATAACGGAAATGTACCTTTAGTTGACACATACATTGCGTACAACAATTTGCGTAGTTGTTTACAACCTATCGTTTACTATTGCAGAGCGTTAGTAGTATGTTAGTAGTACTTCGACGAGGACGGAACATAATTACATGATCAAACGAACTTACCTGTAAGTGATGTTCGATCTTAATTATGTGAAGCCCTCATCAAAGTAAATAGCTTCCTCCCTCATGTATCACCCAATTGTTGCAGGAACTTGGCAGGGGAGGAATGTATGGGGAAGGGGCGCGGTGCCGCTTTCCTTCGTTGCGTGCGCGCTTTGAAATCGAGGACTTCACATAATTAAGATCGAACATCACTTACAGGTAAGTTTGTTTGATCATGTAATTATTAATAAGAAACGAAAAATTTCAGGGCGTGACCGACCATTACTTTCTGAGTTTCCAATGATTTTTGGGCATGGTCAAAAATTATTTTTGGAAGGTTTAGAATTTTCGAAGAAGCCCAAACCTCATTTTCTAAGCTTCTAGCACTTTTCACACTTCTTTTAGCTGAAGTGATACCAATATTTTTTTGAGAATTTAGTATTCTTGAAGAACGCCACATCACGTGTTTCAACATCTCTCAACTTCTTGATCACTTTACGGCATGGTAAAAAAATATGCAGATTCAATTATTATAAGATCAGGAAGCTTTACATTTTACACTAAAAAAAATTATAAACATAATGTACTTTCATGTGCCATCTAGTTACATAATTTGACTTAATCTATCTCTGAAAATAAATCCTTACCTCGATGAGGCTTTCAAAGTCTTGTTCACTAATTAAGTTATCCTGATCATGGTCCAGAAGACAGCTGAAGAAATGTGAAAATTTGGTGATCTGTGTCAAAGATAACTGATAAGAACATATTTCTGATGTCCCTTCTCCAGAATCAACACTGAATCTATCTACCCACGTTGCTGTAAGAAAATATACAAAATAGTTATTTGCGTACCTAGGGCGTTAAGCGGGGGCGGTTATCGCCCGTAGCATGAACGAGCTCTAATACACCAAAGGATATACAACCCAATTCATCAAAATCAAACAAGAATACATTTATTTCAGATAGAAGATCAAACTTTCTAAAAATATTAATTTTTGAAGAATTATACAGATTGTAAACATTAGGACTAGTCCGTCATTGATGAACTATATGAGCTAAATATTTCTCATGGATAATGTGTTAAAGGTCGATTCATTCCTTTTAAAGGCAAAATCATGGAACTAACCATTGCTTGTTCAGTAATGAGTGGCAACTTCTTCGTTCAGTTTTATCATTCATCTTGATACGAGGCTTGTTTCAAAAATTAGATTCCCACATTTTTTCACACCAGGAATGTTTTATTTGAAAAAAACGAATTCACCATTCACGATCTATCATCTATTGTTCTCCATAGTCGCCATTTTTTCTACGCATTTTTTTGACATGAAATCGACTTTTGCACTCCCGCCTCAAGGAAGTCCGCCCACAGCCCGTTTAAAAACTTTTTTGAAACTTGGTAACTGCTCCTTGCAACTCCTCGTCCATCTCGAACCATTGACCGCTTAGGTGCTCCCTCAATTTCGGAAATGCTATGTAGGGCTGTAAGGGGGATGTGTAATGACTTCAAAGCCAAATCGCTGGATTAAGTCTTTCGTTTGTTGTGAGACATGAAGATGCGCATTATTGTGGTGCAGTCTTACACTTTGGTAAGTTTTTCTCTACGACGATTTTGGATTGCCCGCCTTAGCTTTTTCAGAAGCTTCAGGAATTTCAACCGCCTATTCCCGGATCATAATTCGCCGATCTTCGAGCAGCATCTGCTAAATCTTCGCCACAACGGAGATCGGCGGCCTCCTGGTTCGCTGTCCATCGTGCATGTCCGTGCGGCCGTCAAAGCACTCTCTTCGCCATTTGAGGACATGTTGAATGCTTATACACATTTTCCCATATACTTCACCGCACGAATTTCGTAACTGGCTGTGACGGCGATAAAGGGTTCCATTGCGCATGGACGTTGCCTCTTACTGGGATCGGTGGTGGGGGAGCCGACAAACACGACGGTATTACCAGATACAGCGTTGGGAATCTTATTTTTTGGGAAAACCCTCATATATGGTCTTCTTAGACAAATAGTTGTGAGGTTATCAAAGAATTAGAGACACGTTATAAAACTCTAAATTTCTGTTGCTGCCGTAAAAAATTATTTTGGTTTTCTAATTGTTTCGATTTTGTACTGCTTCGTGCGTTTACAAAAAAAATTATGCAAAGATTTGGCAACTTGTTCTGAGTTTTGCCAAGTTTTACGTCAAATTCCATGTGATGACCTTGTTTTCTTTTCCATTATATTCAATTCAAGCATAGAACTTTGATAGGACTACAGTATTCAAAAGTATGTTTGCATGGTTTTTGTTTAAAACCACAATACATATAAAACCTCAAAGATGTTTCTAGCAAGAATTTGTTGTGCAGTTGGCAGCACTATCTACTGTGAGATAATCCATTAATAATTTGTCCATTGATCTAAACAAAACAAAACATAAACAGGTTGACCTTGACAAAATCCATCTGAATAAATTCATGAAGAAATTGTTGATGTAAATTGGATATTATGGTATGTCATAGGAAAAATTGCAGCCCTAATATTTTTCTCAATAACTCAATATTAGAATAAGTAGAATGTCATTGGAATTAAACCTTAAAATATATTTCTCTTAATAGTGACAAAATTGTTCATTTACTCAATAACAAATTGTAAACCAGTACTTTTATGCATTTGTCTGGCCTTATTTTGTATTCCTGCACTTTACTGAAAGTGATTTAGTTTCATGTAACTTGTCTGAAGATTCACTGGCAACTGCTCAAATTCAAAATATCGCAAAATTTTGAAATTTAGTAGAGGGAAATACGATTAACATTTTCAAGAACATTATAGAACTTCTGAAGAAACAGTATGCCCCAAAAGTACGAAACTGTTTGTTGTAATTATGGTTGTATAATTTGATATGATATACAATAATAAAGAGCAGCAGTGGAGAAAATTTTTTCATAAATTTGTTTGGGAGGCCAAGAGACATGTGATGGTTTATGCCATGCTACAGAATTTTTTCATGACTGTAAAAATTATGTGTAACTCAATAGTGGTTCGATTATGTACTGAGGTGTACACAGTAGCACGTAAAGAGTTTTTATTGACCTTCCAAACATCCTGTATAGTTTTGTCCAAAGTATACAAGAAAATCTCATTTCATTATAGGGGCTGCATATTCCAACTAGTAGTAGTATTGATAGGCTAAATAAGCAAAATAAAATTTTACTTTTGGGAACACTAAACTTACTCCAAACATGTACACTCCAACTACATTTTTCCTGTTGGCTATCTGTCTTCTCCAAAGTATGTCCATTTTGTTTAAGGTTCTCAGCTTCAATTTCAGGTAGTGTTCTCCATCTTTTTAACAAATCTTTGGTTTTATCTCTCGTCTTATCACATGCTGATCTCCAGTTTGCTATAATTTTATGAGGCACTTTCAATGAAGCATCACTGGGGAGCTTTTGATTGTCCAACTCATGTTCTATTACCTCTGCCTTAAACTGTATTGCATTCTTTTCTTTGAAACTGCCACTTGTGCTAGACTTGTCTATGCTTTTTGTACTCTTTAGGCTAGATTGGGAAGTACGTAGGTCTTTTATGCTATTGTCTCTACTAGATCTGCTTGTTTCATCTGCGGTGCTATGCTCCATGCCTACAGATATTTTTATGAATTCTTTTTTAAATCACATAACAGCTATGTTTATTTTAATCATGCAAGTACCTTCATATAACTTGTAGTTATGAATTGATCGTTTTGTTTATCAATATTTGATTCATTTCAACAGAAAATGAAACTCGTTATTGGTCATTTTCCTTCTCAATAGCAATGTTGAATTCTGATTGAGTATACATTTCCTAGTTCAAGAACTAATCACCTACTCATTTTATAGTGAGCTCGATACCATCAACGCTTTCCCGAATTTGAGAAATCATATACATTCCAAACTCCTAAAAAAATTATTGATAAAGGAAAAAGCAAAACAAAAACTGAATTTCAACTCCCAACCCTTCAAGGCACAAAACACAAAACACATAAGACTTCAAGGCATGACGTACAACCACCGTAAAACGATTTCGATTATAAAAGTCAACTAGTGAAAAGAGGTGTGATTAACCTAGAGCACGGGACGTGATCGACATGGATAAAGGGCGTGCATAACTTTGGAGGTGGATTGAGAATAGAAGCTAGGACTCATGCTTTACGTTACATTGAAAAATTGATAAAAGGAAGAGAGGAGAGAGAGCCTGTGTGCGTAAAAGACGATATAACTTTCTTTAAACAATTCAACTGTATTTTTTATTTTATTACCATCTGTCGACTGAATTGATAATTTGCAGGGTAATAGGCAATCCTTGAACTGGACGACTGAAAATTTCTGAGTAGGTAAAATGTACTTCTTGTGTTAGATGCGGCCGGAGGTGGTGCAAGTATCATGTTTTCTTCGTCTTGCCGTTGATTGCTGGAGTTACTTACTGATCTTGAACTCAGACAAGGGTGGACTTAGGGAGGACGCAAACGATATTTGGGGCTGGCAATTTTCCAACCTCAGTAGAACTTCTAGAATTTATTCTATTATTGCTCCTCAAATCCATTGTGTTCCATCTGGTCAATGCCAGCTTGAAAAAATGCTCAGAAATCCTCAGAACGGCAATATTTTATTATATGAGAACAAAATAAGTTCGTGGCATTTATAATTAACTAGTGTAATAGTGTTAAAGATTAAAACATAAAGAACTGCATTGCTCTGTTAACCGAAAAAAAAACACCTGAGGGACCCCGAGACATACATATATACCAGTCCATTCCACACAAAACAATGTCTATGATGACGAGAACGAACATGAGACCGAAAAATTCATATTATCGTATGGAAGAGACAAAGACGGATGTCTATAGACCATCTATAGATCGTGTATTGAGACCGTCTCCAGACTGCCTATACGCAAATTGCGCAACGGGGTCTACTACAAAGCTTAAGGATTAAGACTGAACTACCCATTAAGCAAATCAAGTATTTGGTGCAAGTACCGACACAATCAAGCACTTCTATTATATCAGCAGGTGATAAAAATATCAATAGGTATAGTCAATTATTTGTTGAAATTCAATATAAATGTTACAGTGATTCTTCAGACTTTCGTTGTCAAACTTAGACTTACGGCATAGTTGTTGTTTTCTCAGTTTTCGGTGTTGATCGCATGTAAAAATGTTGAAAATCCTTGGAAAAACTATAGCTGTTAGATCGTAATTATTTTTATAATGTATGCTTGTACGAAACAAGTACAGGAATACATGGGTGTACATATTCACGTGTAGTGCAGAAGCTCTGTCATCTAACCGAATTCAATATAGCAGCATAAATAGACACATAAGCGGGAAGTGATGCTGATGCGGGACGTGTGGTATTGACTTTTAGCATTGATCGACACATTTTCTGGACAGGACACAGGCGCACCGCTAAACATATCTCATAAATGTCTATTTCCAATTTAGGTGTTCATCTAACATAGTACTTCGCTGCAACGTCAACCCTAAACAAAATCAGTCAAGCTTTACACACTTTTCAAATTACTATTGAGCAACAAATAGAACAAATCACTTTTTAAGTGCAATCTGCATAGCTAATATATTACTCAGACTTAGATTTGTCACAAGTGACAATACTCGTATATACGTATAAATCGTAAGAATTGTGCTGTAAACGTAAGTGATGTCAAAGAAACACAGCGTTTGGAATACCAAAGCATACCAAAAAATCGCAAAGATCAGTTCCTATAGCTATAACTTATAGTTAGTATGTCTCTGTCGCCGTGATGTGTCAGAAAGTAACACAATGGTGTTAGATTACAAAAGCAAGTGTTAGACGTCTAGGGGCGCGCGCCCCCTGCGCCCGCCCCTGAATCCGCCACTGAACACAGATTCATACTATATATAAATACCCCAGTATTTCTGTTAATTAAAATATAATTCTGTGCATCCTGAAACGAAAATCGACACGATCCATGCACATGTTTGTCGTCGATGTTATCGAGATCTCCCGGGATGACGAACTGAATAAGATAACGATATCTTTAAAAGCTGCATAAATCATATTTCTGCTAATTCCTATAACAAAAAGGGATTTCCTCTTCATGTTGTTACAGATTTTGCAGATTTTCTAGCACTATGAAAATTCTGCAATTATCTGATAGGGAGTTATTGAACGTCCAATAAAGTCAGGCACTGATAATTCCTGGAACAAAACACATAAGACTGACCTGGCCAGATTTGACATCTGAGCCGGCGCAGTAAAACAAAAATAAGACTCGGAATTAAATTAAACAATACAGAGAAAACACTAATGTAATAACAGGCTAGTCACTTTAAACTAGTTCGCTCAGTTCTATGCCTTTAATTTGTTGGCGTAGATGGTCATTATTAGTATAAGGTCGGCAGTAATAGTGGACGGCAGTATTCAATAACTCCCTAATTAGCTGGCGCATCTGCATTCTGCAACTATTTAGGTATTTCGTAAAATCCACAAAAAATACAGGGTGGCGCATCGAAAACGAAACAGACGCATTTACTGGCAGCTCAGTTTTTTTTTAAAAACGCTCAGACCCGTCGATTTTGTTTTCGAGGGGGACACAAGTTTGGCAAAAAATCACGTTAGCACGTGCAGCCCCCTAGGCGGGTGTGACACCACCCCCAAAGTCTTAAATGGAAAGAGGGGTCGAGTGATAGCTTATTTTAAAGGTCTTTCAATTCCCGTTATAATGGTATAAAATTAATGTACTTCAGTTCAGTAATACATCATCATTAGTGGAGATCAATACATTTGGCAGCAAAGTAATTTAAAAATGAAGAATGAACTGACCTGTTAGGCAAATGTTGAAAATGGCCACCATGACTCTCCATGCAATAATAAAGATTTTGCTCAAAACGTTGCCGCACATTTTGCAATATTTGAGGAGTAATTTGAAGGCACTCATTCACAATTCTTTGTCGCAGGTCTTCTAATGATGTTGGCTGAGTAGTATAGATTTTGCTTTTTAATTGACCCCACATAAAGAAATCCAAAGGTGATAAATCTGGCGATCTTGAGGGCCATTCAATGGTACCTCTTCTACCAATCCATGGATCTGGAAACGTCTGATCTAAATATTGTCGAACACGTAATGCGTAATGTGGTGGGGCATCATACTGTTGGAACATCAACCTATTCGCAATGTACCGCCGATCATTCTGATTTGCAATTATGGCTGTTAATGCATTAAATATTTCGATATTTTCAACTCTTTCTGCTGTGGAATATACCATGGTTAATTTATGTAATAAAGCGTTACAAGTTATTTTAGCGACAAAGTTTGGTCAAATCAATCGCAAACTATGTACTAAATTCCTATTTAAAATAAGTACGAGATATTTCCTTATATTTCTTCAAGAAATAACTTTTTTGCCACAAAAAAACGCTCCAATAGCTATTTTCAACAACAAAATGATAAACAAACCATGGGCGTAGTACAAAGTAATCTGATGTACCTATTAAAGCTTTAAATCAATAAATCTTCAAAACTACTGAACTGAAGCTCATGTATTTTACATCATTATAAAGGGAATTGAAAGACCTTTAAAATAAGGTATCACTCGACCCATCTTTCCATTTAAGATTTTAGGGTTGGTGTCACCCCCGCCCAGGGGGTTGCACGTGTTAACGTGATTTTTTGACAAACTTGTGCCCCCTTCGAAAACAAAATCGACGGGTCTGAGCGTTTTTCCAAAGAAAAACTGAGCTGCCAGTAAATGCGTCTGTTTCGTTTCCGATGCTCCACCCTGTATGCACTGAAGAAGGTTTAATTCCATGCTATTCGATAAGGATTTTTTCGCGAGTCCACGGTGTAGCACAGTGCACTGCCGGGAACCGATACTCAAATTTTCGCGAAGAATGGGAATAGGGGAAGACGAATATGACGTCGTCCGAATGACAAAAAATCACGTGGTACGGGTACCCGCCTAACGTCTGTGTGGTACTAGCGGGTGACAGGTCTTATGTCAATTTCATTTAAAAAAAGGCATCTCAATTGAAAGTTTGTCTTCACATTGCCGAAAATTGAGTTAAATTATTAAATCATAAATGGGGGAACACGTCCAGCTGATTTTAAATGACAAGGGAGAAGGTCATCGAAGATATATGAAGCGCACTTGTCATATCAAATGATTGATATTATTGATATATATGTTCATTGCACATAAAACGATCGATCTTTTTATTTCAGATTCAAACAAGGCTGCTAAGTTTATCAAGGAGCTTAAAGCAAACATTTTGCGCAACTTGCGCCATCTAACCACTCCCGGTGTAACTTGAAACTGTCAAAACTCCGAAAGGAAGGGGAAATTCAATCTGTTGCCGCTCTGGTTCACTACGGGATCTCGCGAAAAAATCTCTGTCAACACGGTGACTTGTGTGGTTGTCAGCGGGCATTTTTTTGAGGGTGCGACATGGTTGCCCGATAGTACATTAATATCCCGCAATGTTGCCAGCTCTACATATAAATCTGAGATTGCTATACTTTTATATATAGAAATTTATTGGGATATGGAGGATCTTATAACAGCATGGGTTTTTTGTATGTTGAAATAACAACGTAAATAATACACGCTGTTATTAGATAAATCATATTTACTAATTAATCTGGAAAGGTTCAGAAGAAAAACATACAGTGCAAATACCTAAATATATATATATATATATATATATATATATTTATTATATAAATATATATATATATTTATTATATAAATCTCGTACATTTTTCTACAAGCAAATCAGTATTAACCTTATTATGATCCGGATGTTTTCATTCGCCAAACTTTGTTGGCACCTGCATAAATCAAAAATTAGGGAAACATTGAATTGTGTTGATATGTTACTATAATTCACATATTTCTTTTTTTATTAGAACAATAATATTACTGTCCATGGGTACCTACAGGAATTTATCAGTGGTGCTGATCATCATCAAGAGATAACTTTTTTGTGAAATTGTCCTGCCCCCATAATTTTTTGACAAGCAGAGGTAGCAATTTTTTCAGGGGGGATAAATCCTAAAAAATTCTCAAAGTTGTAGACAAAAGCATTCTAGATATACAAATTTTAAAGTGAAAGCGGATCCCCAGGAG